AATCTGAAATGCTTGCTTTTTCAGTTAGCTAACTGCGCACGTCTATATTCCTTACCTGATGATCAAAACATTCTTCACAATTATAAGGTAATTTTTTTTTCCATTTTCACTGGAAAATAAGTACTGCAAGTATCTCTGAGGCAAAAAGACCAGTGCTTTAAAAGACAGGACGTGAAAGAAGAGGAGAGGGGACTAAGTAGTTAGAAAAGCAGGAGAGACACATACATCAATGAGGTGGAGTACTCTGGTGATCAGGTAAAAAGTACAGGCAACAGAGGGGAAAAAAAATGATAAAATTGAGTCTTTTTTATGACTATTGGATAGTACTATGAATTTTTAATCAGTTTATTATTATTATTTCTCAAGTATGCAGAGAGCATTTCAGAACAGCACTTTCAGGTGTTCAAAAGGGGAAAGGAAAAGCGGTGTTTCAGGGCTCTGCAGCTACGTTCCAAACACCATTTTCTAATTTAAATCATTTTTTTTTAATTGTAAGTAAATTTCCTAGTTTAAGTCAAAAGTTCCCACGCTCACCTTTATCTCTCTTGTTGCTTTCAAACCAAAGCCCTCCTCTTCAAAGTTCGCTATTTCAAACCCCTCTGTGGACGCTCCATTTTCGGTTGCCCACTTGATCAATTCGGGGAAATAGTCATCTCTTTTTCCATCAAAGACAACAGACAAACCTGTACACACAGTTTATTAAGAAAAGAAATACAGAAATAAGAGGATGATGAAATATGAAGCTCTCCTCTTCTTTCCCTTTTAAATAAGTGGAGTATTTCCCAGTTTAATATTGATAATAAACGCAATTACAACTTGTTTATACCGACACAAAGAGGAATTTGAGGCAAGCTGCAATTTCTCTTCAGCCCACACTGTCATGTCAGACCACATTAAAAGTGGCCAAACGCTCCTGAAATGCTCAGGCCATTTTATGAGTGACAAAATGCCATCAGCAAGTTGCCTACATCCAAATATATTTTAAGCACAGGTGATAAATACATGTGTAGATTAAAAGGATTTTAGGAAAGTAGCGTTGTGCATTTGAAATATTCCTCCACCTCCACATCCAAGTCACGCATTTCAAGCCCCAGAACCAATCACATGTGCAGTTAACATAAAAGTGCAACCATCATCTAAAACTTCAATGATTCAATATAAAAACTCAATAGTGATAAAGTGTCTTTTTGAATGCAGTGAGAACATGTCTCACATTCTTCCAAAGCAAAAAGAAAAGCAGCTTCTTAAAGTACAAGCACTATTAGGGAACAATTCATTTCTATACTGAACAAAATACAGCAATCCTGATGAAAATCTACGTTGAAAAGTTACCTTTATTTACAATTTTGCTAATGAGTCAAGGAAAAATTTTGGAAAGTAAAAATACTCAGTTTTAAAATGAAGAGATTTCTATAACCAAGATCATTTTAGGTCACATTCTGCAACCCAGCGTTCTAGTCAAGAAAAGCACAAAGTACGACAGTTTAGGCACTGTATATTCATTTGCACATCTCAGAGCTCCCAACAGCAATTTATACTTCCTCTGCTAATTGCTTAAAGCCTTTACTAAGCTAGAAAACTGTGTACTATAAATTACTATCTTCCATTAAAAATAGTTTTGAAAGACACCACAGTTTTCATACTCACTACGCATGTGAAAATGTTACGTTAAAAGACATTTGTATGTCAGCTGTGCTGTGGTCGGGAGGTTTTGCATCTTTCAAGGAAAAAAGATACAATTTATTAACATAAGTTACACATTGAACAGGCCAACCCCAGTGCTAACTCTTGTTCTTGTGAACCTGAGTTATGTTTTACCATAAGACACGTTTAACACATCATAAAAACCTGGACACGTACCATAAATTTAGAGAAGTCATGGGACAGCAAAACAAGAAATCAAGTCCATCTCTACACAGCTACAGGATGCAGTCACTGAAATAGTTTGATTTATTTTCATATGCCATCTGCTTATAACTGATGTTCAGAGGCTCAGAAGTCCTTTCATGAAGTAAGATTTTTATGCATTAGTCAAAATATATTAAAAACAGGTGTGAAAATGACATTTCAAGCCTGTAAGTACTTGTTTTATCAAGTACATGAACCACTCAAGCTCTCTTCTAAATGCAGTCTGGCTTTTTTACCATCACTGTGCAAATAGCAGAGAAAAAAAGAATCGTTTCAGGACTTTTTCAGGTATGTCCAGCCCAAATCTATTAATTCCAAGGTTAAAGAGCTACTTCTTGGCCATTGAAATACATCAGAGAATCACAGAATCACAGAACGTTAGGGATTGGAAGGGACCTCAAAAGATCATCTAGTCCAATCCCCCTGCCGGAGCAGGAACGCCTAGATGAGGTTGCACAGGAAGGCGTCCAGGCGGGTTTTGAATGTCTCCAGAGAAGGAGACTCCACAACCTCTCTGGGCAGCCTGTTCCAGTGCTCTGTCACCCTCACTGAGAAGAAGTTTCTTCTCAAATTTAAGTGGAACCTCCTGTGTTCCAGCTTGTGCCCATTACCTCTTGTCCTATCAGTCATAAAAGAGGTTTATTTTATTAAAATGACATTAAACATTTTTTGAGCATACTTCCAAAGAAAACCAAAACTAATACGAAAATAAAGTATCATCAACAGTGAGTTCTTACAGAACATAATGGAAGAAAACTGGTTTAATCTGAAAAATAAGCACACCTTAAACTCAGGAAAATCAGCAATGAAACTCCATATTTACTGTGGTACCATAAGCGTTTATTTTAATTATGTGCTTGATTTATAATAGACAGATTTATTAGCTGAAGTATTTAGTGCATTTGCATATTTTTATTTTGTCGTAATGTCAAAACGCTGAAACTATGTCCAGAAAAATTTTCATGTTAAAATAAAATAGTTATCAAATTAAATTTTAAAGGTTCAGATTTATAAAGGCAGAGGAGAAGACTACGCAGTCAGGAAGTAAAAACGCCCATTATTTTCAAAGGACTTTTACTTCTAGTCCTTCAGGTTGTCATCTCATCACAAACTCAAGCTCCTTTTTCTACTTATCAGCAATTCAGAATTAACAGAGGATCACCTGTCTGTGCTACTCACTCAGGATCCTAAGTATTAGAGAGGTTGATGACAGTGGTCATGCCCACCAGAACATTTCAGCAACACTTGCAAGTGTAAAATGCAACTGCATGTCAGAGAATTCAGACTTTTTGGTCAAAAACTAGTAGGATTGCGTAATATTTATATAGTAACAACAAAAATATATTGCTTTTAGATGACAGCAGGCAATTCTTTAGGTAAATCAATGCTCTGAGCCACCCTTATCTTCGTCTTTCACATTTACCTTTTTGCTTTTTGCGTATTTTCTCAACAAGCGACCGAATCTGTACGTACTCTTCCCATTCCTTACCAGGGCCTGGGGTAGGACTGCTGCACTCTGGAAATAAAAATGCCACATGAAAATCTTTAATAAATTATATATACATATAAACATTAGAGAAAAAGTCATGATTTCACAGCAACTTTAACTGAACCTTAGTACTACTTGTCTTTCAAACATGGTAAATATGATAAATTCCATTTGTTATAAACATCCCATCCTTGGACATGTAATGAACAGAGACTTTTGAAATTCACAGCGTAAATTACCTCAAGTTATTTTTTATAAAGTCTTTCAGATATTGGAAATACCAAGTGTTTTAAAAAGCCAGGAAGAAGAAAAGGTAAACAACCAGACCATTGAGTAGTCTCTCAGATAAGATAATCAACGAAAAAAGCCTGTTTTCAATAATCCAAGTAAAACACACTGTTTCCATTAGCCTGCTTGCCATCATTCACGCTGTAATGAAAGCAGATGATAGAGAGGAGTTTACTTTAAGTAATTGAGAAATTTGCTTCTACATCATTTGACCTGCCTACTCCATACTGGTTTCATAGATAAATACGTGCTGGAAGGACAAGCAAAGAAAGACTGAGCCAAGCTTTAGCTTTAGATTATATCCAGTGTCTCTGACAATATTCTAAACACCAGTGTGTGGATTTCTTGATCTAAGCCACATAAATCCAAGTGGACAGCTGAAGATTACCTTGCTCAACCGATCTGAAAAATCGTTGTGTTGAATAAACGATGGAAGCCTGACAAAAAGAACAGCTGATACTTGTCTTTGCTTAGAAAATTTGATCTAGGGTTTATTTTTGGTAGCAAAGCAGAGGCCAATTGTAGCTCAAGCATCAAGCTGCTCTGCCAACTCCTTGTCTCCTCTTTGTGAGCAAAGCTAAAGAAAAATCCTAATTTTTCCAAGGCAACATTTAGATGTGTTCAGGATACAAAAATGTGAACTTGTGTTTCAATAAGAAGTGTAGCTCAGCAGTTACCAATGACAGGAGGAAGAGTGAACAGTATTTTAGCATCATCATGTGAAATTATGCTCTGCTTTTAATATTTCCTAGAAATAATGCATGAGTTCCAAGCTCCTCAACAAGTGAAACCACCTTTGGTCTGCGCACAAGAATGAAGCACTACAAAAAGCTTCAAAATAGCAACACGAACAGAATTTTCTTTGAGCAAGAAAAATACCAGTGGGCTTGAACTGAGTTGTACTGCTGCTTTCCACAGTGAGTTTCTCTACTCTGGTATCAGTCCAAAGTATTGTTCAGATGATAAAACAGAAACAGTGCATTTCTTGAGGTTTAAAAGAAAGATTTTTTGACAAAGCTTCAGCGTCAAGTTAATTTTTAAATCTAATCTTGCTCAGTATTTATGCTCGTGTTGAGATGTAAGGCCAAAAGCTTTCAGAAATGCAGTGTGTGCAATACATACACATTTAAATAAGCCAATAAAACAAAGACAAAAATGAAACTTACTTTGCAATAACTCACTGATTAGATTCAACATTTCCTTTGGAGACACCGTCGCTGCGGCTCCCGTACCCGATTTCTGTGTTTTCACTCGGCTCTTCTTCCCCATCTTCCAACTAAAACAGATTAAGAAATACAACGTCACCAGTTACTATGAAACAAAACACAATAACGATGTATGGACAAGATCTGCCCTTATTAGTCATTAAAAAGGAAAAAATAAAGAGGACAAGGAGTTGCTTCTGGCACATATGTATGTGCAGTTATTATTTGCATGGCACGAATGTAAGACAACTATACGGCGCAATCTGAAGCAATATTTCCTGTAGTTGCACATTAATTAACTCAGGGTAATTAGAAACTAGAAATCATAGAGGGGGAAAAAAATTCATTCAGATCACTTACAAATTCCTTAGTGGTAAACAAATAGTATGGATATCGAAGTATCCAGGTTGTTTCACCTCATCAGCTGCATTAGTATTTGTGACTGTGCTCAAATAGCAATTCAAAATTAACAGAAAACTAAGCAATCCATTTCAAAATAAAATCAAAATATCATATATATATATATGTGTGTGTGTGTGTGTGTATATTTATGTGGAGACATGTATATGTATATAAAAAAAATCTTCGGAGCAGCTTCTTGTGGTTCAAGAGAGTTCATTAAGGAACATTTATTTTCAGTTACCACCATAAATGGATCGTCCTCCTAGGCTGGTTTTCCAATATTCAGAGCCCCTTGCTCTCACAGAGGACTTGTATCACCCAACCCTACCGGAAGGGCAGCGAGCAAGGTGTGAAATATCCAGGGAATTTCTCACATGCACTGGGAGCAATTTTTCGCTAGCGCTGAACAGGCTCCAGGGGAGGGATCTGGTACTCATGAATAAGACCTGCCCGTGCATATGATGGCCAAGAGCAGCCTTGTGAAACAGAAGTGTAAGATCCTGAGGAAAGAAAGGGAGGAAAGAACCAGACCAAACTGGACTCCAGTAAAAAGACAGCTTGGAGTAAGTGTAATTCAGCTGCTAAATCAGGAAGCAGCTTAGTGATGAAAGGGAGAGAAGAAATGGAGGTACTCAACATCTTGGGCATGGTCTTTACCAACAAGGTCTGCTTCCCACATTTCTGTTAGCAAAACTGGAGGGAGAAGAGCTATCAAGTTAAAAGACTTTATTTAGGTAAGACAGATTTATACAAGAATGTAGGACCAGATAGGAACAACCCAAGGTACTGAGAAAGCTCACTGATGCTGCTGGAAGGCTGCTGGCTATCATCTTTGAAAAGTCACCCTGACTGCCTACGACAGGAAACAGGCAACTTAAAAATAAACAAACAAAACCCAAGAGAAGAGCAAGATGGGGCAGGAGAGGACAGAGGATCCAGGGAACCACACAGTAATTGGTCTCACCTCATTTGCTTTCCAAAATGTAGAGCGAGTCCTAAAGGGAAGTAATATCCAGGCACGATGGACATGAGTGTGACTGGGATCAGACAACAGATTTCTAAAGGCAAACCATGTACAACCAACTGCCTGCCTTCTGGAGAAATAAGTGGCTCTGAGGACCACGGAGAATCAGTGGTTGTCACTTGCTTTGACTTAAGCAAGGCTTTTAACACTATCTTCCATTGCATTCTGGTTGGCAAACTGAGAAGACATACAGACCAAATAGGTGGACAAGTTGGACAAAAGATTTCCTTGGACCAAGAGGTTCAAAGAGTTGTGGTCAATAATTGTAAGTTTAAATGCCAACTGGTTAGACATAGTATTCCTCAGTGGTAAATACTGGGCAACATCTTCATCAGATTTGGATGCTAGGACAGAAAGCATCCTCAGCAAATTAATAGATGATATGAAACAGGGAAAGTGGACAACACATTGGAGGGCAGGGGCATGATTCAGAGGTGGACAAAGTGGCCAACAGGAATGTTATAAGGTTAAACAAAGACAAATGTGAAGAGTCCTGCATTTGGGAAGGATAAAACCCCTACACAGCATTACAGCCGCAGGCTGGACAGGCAGCAGCTCTGCTGGAAAGGACTTGGAGACTCCAGCAGACAGCAAGTTGAACATAAGCCAGCAGCACACCCTTAACGTGATGAAAACTAACTGTAGTCTGAGCTGCATGAGCAAGAGCATAAACAGCAGGTGAAGAGAAGTGTTTACTCCCTTCTGCTTGGCACTGGTGAACCCACGTTCAGAGCACTGGGCAGTCTGGGGCCATGCAGCACGGGAGGTATTGGCAAACTGGAGCACGTCCAGAAGAAAGCCATTAAAACAGCAAAAGGGCTGACACATAAGAAAGACATGAGGAGGGAGTTGGGATTGTTCAGTCTGGAGCAAAGGAACCCGCTGCTGCCTTCACCTACATCACAGGGACTTACACGAAGGCTGATGCAGATTCTTCCCAGGCAAGCACAGCAAAAAGGGCAACAGGCACGGGATGCTGCAAGGGAAATCCCAAATAGACACAAGGAAACTCCTCACCAGGAGGTGGTTGAGCACTGGAGGAGGATGGAGATTTAACAGCATCTCCAAGCAAACTCAGAGAATTTAAAAATCTGACTCAGCAAGGCCCTAAGCAACCTGATTTAACTTTGAAGTTGAAGCAGAAAACTGAGCTGCTCAATCTCCAGAGGTCTTTTCCCATCTACATTTTCCTATGATCCTACATGTTACTGCAACTGATGCTTTCACCTCTGTATGGGCAGCCTGCATAGTCTACATGGTATTTAATATCTTCCTGTACAGTAAAGGAGATTCTACGTCCAGTTACTTTGCAGTGCAAGGGGAGTCAGCCACAGTCAGGTAACTCTGGACAACTGAAAGGTTTAAAAAAGATCTTCTAAATACAACTGCTATGCATTAAAAACTTCCAGTGGGAAAGGTACATGATCTTCTGCTTTAATTTTCTGTTAAGATGAGAGTGAATAAGAACTTGCCAAGCCCAAACATTATTTTAAATACTAACTTGGAAGGATCGGGAAGCAAATGAAGGTTAACAGTGTTAACTTATTAACTCAAAGGAGCTCAAAAGCAACTGAAAAGCCAACACCTCGTAACAAGAGAGAAAAATGAAAGGCAAAACCAAACAGTGTTTTCAAAAAGGAACACAAACCAAATTCTTTTATCTTCCGACACTAAACACAGCGCAAAGACAAAACTAACCTTGAGCACATGGAGACCGAAGTCCTGGGACATTTCTCCCTCTATTTTTGCTCTCTCCACCAGATATCAGAGGCTCAAACACCACATTTGCACCACTTTATTTTATCATTTCCCCTTGAGCTGCACAACTTACTTTGCCCACACAGCTTCTACCATGAAAAACCCTCATCTGCAAGCCAGAACGAGAGATCCCACATGTTCAGTATCATTGCACCGGTCACACCCCTTGAAGTCTGCAAATTAACACTCTAGGATCAATATCAATGGCCAATCTGCCATAACACAGTGAGACAAAGCCATAGAAGAACACCACCACCAAAAAAAAGAACTTAAAGAAGTTTATTGTCGTGGTCTTCCTCTTTTTTTTTTTCCTAGTAATGCTCTCATACTCGTAAAAGGATAAAGCAGAGCTCTTGGTACCTGAGGTCACCTTCACAAAGACTTTACTTGCACATCCCCTGTTCCCCGAGTGTTCCCCTCTCCCACACGCCATCCTGTTACATTTATTTTAGAGGAGAAATCAAGTTAGATGGGTCTGTCAGGGATCCAGCAGCAGGCTTGGGGATAGAGTCCAAAATCTGCACACTTCTGTTGATTCACAGGAATGTTTTTCTAAGTTCCCTGTAAGCACAATCCCCTGCCTCTTCAGAATCATCACAAAACTAAAGCGCTCACGCAGCGCATCCCACGTCACAAGTTATAAAGTATGATGACACAGTTTACATCAATCAAGATAGTAATAAATATTAAGATACATAAGTTGAACAGCAAAGTATTTAGAAAAGAGAAACCAAAATCCTTCAAAAGTCTGTTTATCAACCACTAAAGTGAGGAAAAGCAGTCTAAGTAAATGTTCTGTGTACACAACTACCAAAATACTGTGGGCTTTTTTAAAGTTGTATTTAGAGGAAGAATCTGCTTGCAACTTAAATATCCATAGGTAGATTTTATGTGAAGAAAATAACGTTTAATAATGTATAACATGTATATATACATATATGTATAATATGTATTTTATATGTATTATATATGTATATAATGTATAATATGTATATACCTAATATATAGACATGAATCTAATGGAGACATGAAAAGTGCCACCATGCAGTCACGACCAGTGACACTCCAGTGTGTGAAGCTGTATCAATATGGTACACAGTCAGCTCTAGATTTTCAATTTTTCCCCATAGGAAACACGTTATCAAGAGCTTATTTGTGCAGTGAAAGCCCTGCCAAAGCATTGTGTCTAAAGAAAAAACTGATTTTAGTGTACGTGAACTTCAGCTCTCCAAATATGACAAAAAGAAATATCTGAACAGTGCTAAGTATTTGCATTGCTCTCGGGGGTGAGTATTGGTTTAACGGTAAAAAATAATCTCTAGCTGAAATCTGCTCTATGCAAGTAAGAAATTCAAGGCTTATCCAAGATCTTTCTCAGCTCCCAGCGCTCAGATAACACACAAATATATCACAGGAAAACAACAGCAAATATATCACAGGAACTTCAGTGAACACAACTCATTAAATTGACGGCACCGTAATCAGAAATGTATTTTTTCAGTGGGATGCTGCCAGTATTTGAACACGAAATAAGCTCTGTAAGCATCTTCACAGTCTCTTTTGATGCATGTATCATGTTTAAACTATTGCTTCTACACCGTCAGAATTTCTATAGAGGAAACATTCTGCATGCATGATTAAATCAGCAAGTCTATCTCACAGAAAAGCCAAACCAGCAGACTGATATTTTGAGTTATCTTGTCATGGAAGTATTTCCTTTTAAGGCAACATCCATCTTAATCAAAACTGTACTTTTTAATCTAATTCCCAATCAGAAAAATAAGTCTCCACTTCCTGCATTACTTATCTCCATTCACTGTTCAGTTGCATGAAACAGCTACAGCCATTTGAACAGATGTATTGTTTTGTAAAAGCTGTAATTT